ATCGCTCGTTTTTTGTAACCTCCTCCAGTTCCTTATAGAAGGCGTCCTTTTCTCCGTCGGTGGCTGTTGACGTTGGCGCATAGCAGTTAATAATGCTGACTGTGGTGCGCGTGTCGATGCGTAGCCGGAGAATGGCCAGTCGCGGACTGAGTACCTCGGTTGAGTCGATCAGATGTTCGATCCGACGATGGACCAAGAATCCCACGCCTCCGACGTTTTTTCCGTCGACTTTCGCTCCTAGAACGAAGAGGTGCCCGTCATTGGTCTTCTTGATGGCCGTTTCCTTGGTTTTCGTCTCCTGAAGAGCAATGACGTCGAAGCGAAGCCTCTTGCTGGTCTCACTCAAGATAGTTTGGTCCGCCTTCGAGGCAATGGTACGGCAGTTGTAGGTACAAATTCGTAAGCAGTCTCCATGCCTCGAAGGTTTTTCGTCCTGTGCACTCCAAATCCTGCGGCGGTTTTGGTCTACAGGTCCCTTCAGGTCGCCGTTTGCTCCAGTGCACTTGGAGCTCGTGCTTCCATCTGCGCCGCTCCGGACCCTCATTGTGCGTGTTGGAGCTGTTGTACCTCGGGTAGCTAGCCCATTTTGAGGCGGTTTTTACCTCCACTGTTAGCCGGAATTCCTTCCGTTTCGCCCCCTCGCCACTTCGAGGCCAGTGGTAGGATTTGGGGGGGATTTTCTTATGATGCGAGTCATATATGTGTTGCGATAGAACACGACTGCGAAAATCGATCTGTAGAGTGAAAAATAAACAAATAGACAAGTAAGATTATCAACCGGCAAAGTAAATGTGTTTTTAATGCGTGGACTGAAAGATCGAGAGTAATTTAGGTAGATTGAGGTCGCTATTAGTAAGCGAGAAATGAAAAATCGGCCAGGAAAGATACCTTCTAGGAGAATTGGCAAGTAGGGTAAGGTGCCGTTAAGAGGAACAAATAAATTACGGGGTACCTTACATTTCAACCTCTTCATCAGAAAAATGGTGGAATCTTTTGTTTCATCCATCGGTATGGCAAAACGCGGTGAACGATTTTGGGTACTTCAGCGGGAGCGGGAAGAACTGCATATTCCCGAGCACTATGGTAAGAAGCCTCAACGTCGTGACAGCCTATTTTAGAAATGCATTTTTGTCAACAAAATTCATGCAAACTACCTATTTGTTTTCATTACTTTCGCAGCTATCGTTTCTACTCACGAGAGTTATCACAGTTTATTGGCATCAGGTTGTGTCAACCGCTATGGCATCAACAGTTATCTGACTGAAATAAAGGCATTATAATATGGGCATGCCTAGAAGTTCGGAATTTCGGTCGGTTACACATTTTAGTCGACCGCATTGGGAGAATGTGTTATGTGTCAACCTAATCCTTGATAGTTTTTATTCTTTCAGTAACCATATTCTTTAGGAACTATGAGATAGGAGCCGTTACCTGGTGAGAGATTCTAGTTTTTCTGGCAAAAACTATCATCTTTATAGCAACTCCGTTCAGAGGCACTCTTAGCCATCCCGTTTCTTTTTCGATGTTTTTCTCATAGTAATGGCATGTTCACCAGCAATACTGAACTATCACTTCGGGGACCCTAACGCGAGTTATCCCAGTCCCTCATTCCATCAGAATAGAATTGTCGAACTTTGAACGGAATCGAGACACTTGGTGGCTTACCAACGAGGGGTTTCAACTTCCCATGGAACTTTGAATAGAGATCTAGGTAGATCGATAGGGCTTGGAAAGCTATCAACAAATATGGAAATTAAAACTGCAAAATGAGTCAACCAAAAATGTCGTGAGCGTTCAAAGTTGGCATGCTTAAAGTATGGAGAGATAGTGCCAGTTGGTAAGCGCACTTGCACGCACTTCAAGGGTTACCGTGGCGTAGTGGCAGTGCTCTCCCTCTCCATGGGAGCGAGGAGGGTTTGCTTCCCGTTGTCATTTTCGCTTTTACAAAAAGTGCCTTCATCCGAATAAAAACTTCTAAGCCGTTTTTTCTTCTAATTTAAGTCAGCTCTTTGTTTCCGCTATCATTTGCGATCACCTATTTATCACCTATCACTGCACTTATTTAAAAATTCTTGAAGTGGAGGGGGAAACCTGAACCACTTGAAACAGATATGCGTGAAAAACTGCATATTGATGAAACAAGCCAAGAAATGAGTCAAGCAGATATGTTTTTTACAAAATGCGAACCTCATATGTATATGCTGTTTCTCTACACCCGTAAACAAAACACACAATCGATTCGAGACCAAAAAGAGTACACGTTTTCTTTACACTTTTTTTGGTTTGCTTCATCGATGTTGTTTTTTTTTTTTTTTCGCGTGTCTATGCACCAAGACTATTTTACTTTGGGTAACTGTATGTGTGTTTTGATGTTAAAAATGAAAGAGCGTTACAAAAATGACGTAGAGAAATTTTAATCAAGTGCGTGTTAGGTGATAGATAGGTGATCGCAAATGACAACCGAAACAAAGCGCTAACTTGAATTAGTAAGAAAACACGATCAGACATATGGATCGAGCCTCATTGCTCATCTGAAGAAGGAGAGCACTGCCACTACGCCACGGTGAACCTTGTGGCCATTGCGGGCAACTGCGCTTATCAACTGGCACTATCCCTCCATGCCTTGAGCATGCAAACTTCGAACGCTCACAACTTTTTCGGTAGACTCATTTAGCAGCTTTAATTCCAATATTTGTTACTAGCTTTCCAAGCCCTATCGATATACCTAGTTCTCTATTCAAAGTTCCATAGGAAGTTGAAACCGTTCCCTGGTAAGTTCTCTGTGGTAGGGCGCGGCACCTCATGACCTCCTTCACTTTCTCCTTATTGTTGGAATGGGAGTATTTGGAAAGATGTGTTTTGTCCGGAAGGACAGCTTTTTCTAATATTCCCGTCTGTTCTTGAAGTATGCATAATAATGTAACCGTAAGTACATTTGGAATCTCGGGATACAATTGAAAACTCATGGTTTCTCTCGAAATAACCGTCTAACTGAAAATACTCGGTTGTAAGAAGGTGATGATGTTGGCCGAACTTTCTTTTTTTTNTTTTTTTTCATCCTTCGACTTACCATGCACAACCGCAAAATTATATATTCTGTCAAATACAGAGGAATTGGCTATTTTTCAAACGATGTTCATATATTTATTCATTTATGAGGATAACACTAGTTTTTTAAGATCATTCTGAAGAGGAAAGAAACTTTCAATTCATGTCCGTGTTGAATATGTTTCGTTTTTTGAAAAGAGTCTGTGAAAGCCGTTTCGGAGGAGTCCGAATGAGGATCTGCCGTAAACGTGAAGTGACTATAATTGGGAATCGGTAGTTCTGTTGAGATTTTACAGCCGGTTGCGGCATTTTCTTGAAGAATTTGTGGATACAAGAAAAGAAGACGCCTTCTTTTCTTCTTATTTTCTCTTTTTCTTCCTTTCTTTAGTTAACTGCTTTGCTTTATCAATGCCAAAGTTGTGGTTGCGCACGATAAGGAACGAGTCCAGTCTGTTTGCTATGATTCTCGGTTGAAGAAAAGCCTTTTTGTGATAGACAAACCCATCATCTGCCTGCTTTTATGTCTCCACATTCTCATTATTCTGGAGGTGAGTTGCATGAGTTGAAGGCACACCACATCGATAACTTTGAGGTACCCTTTTGAGTCGAAAGTATCGTTTGGGAATAGTGCCCCGTGGTGAAGGAACCGAGTTTCCAGTTTCCTCGAGCACTCTGGGTCAAGCAAGTCTTCAGCAATATAAGTCATAGTTGGCTATACTAGGCACTGTACAGAAGATCTTTTCTCAGTCAAATCCCCACACGTAAATTCAGTGCGTAGCATATACCAAAACAGAACTTATCAGCGTTTACAGGCCAATCCGTCTGGTCTCTTAGCCTCCATAGCCACTCCAGCGTTTCCTCTCCGTACCAGTTGAAGAGTCCTTGTTCTTATTTTCCGACAGTTGCGTTGCAAATTGGTACTTAGCATCTTTCTATCAGTTTTCAGGGAATTGTGGTGTAAGTTGGTCTCGTGTCTTTCTGGGTGTTCATTCGCCCTGCGATGTGCTTGGCGGATGGACCATCGGCGTTCTGCTACTTTTCATCTTTGGTATGTGATAGAACGGTTACCTTTTTGCATCAAGAAAACTTTTGATTGTTCGAATGCAACAACGAAGGCTAGGCACCGAACGGTCTCAAAGGACGCATCGGCTGTTCGGACGCTGCCTTTTCGTGCTTCATCTAATGAAAAGGTCATTGCAGGAGGGTTCTCTGATAAGCTTTATGATGCATATGAAGCTAGTTCTCGCGACAACCTTTCATTTTTCGTCTATTTCTACACTTTCGTTCTGTTTCTACTATGGGTTCATCCTAGAGCGTGGCCAGAGACGCAAAGTTATTCGGAGGTTGGCGAAGTTACGGTCCTTAGAGAATTCTGTTTGCTTTTCGCTCCCATTGCCCGTCTGCATTCCTTCACAGACCTTGAGACTTGTGGGGCGCTTTCAATTTCTAAATGATTAATCTGTAATGTCCCTTCGCTAAGGACTTTGACGTTACACCTGGTGTCTGGGTGGCAGTAATTACGACTGCGAGACGACACGGAATAATTTCAAATTTTTATTAACACGATAAACAAATAATACGTTCAAGAGAGAATGGATCAGGAGAAATTTCAAAAGAAAAACTCCGCAAACGTGTCGTGCATACGAACTACTGAGGGGAGCACCCATTCAGAGTGCTGTAATCGAGGAAAGGATCCGGAAGTACGGTGTTCGCAAAGCTGCGGGGGCAGCGGGGGGGGGGGGGGGGGGGGGGGGGNGGGGGGGTGGAGGCTACCAACTGACGATTGACGATTGTACTTCTGAAGATTGTATTATATATACAGTGGCATCTAGCCTTATAGATTGTTCTACAGATCTAGTAGGGAGTGAGTCGAGTCCTAAAGGGATGATGAGATGAGTCGAGTCTCTCTATATCCTTGTCCACTCGAAATCTACCAATCAAACTTAATTATTTGTTTGTTTTTCGACGAAAGTGGTTCAGCGGGTGAGCTAACCATCGAGACTGCGTGATCGATTCGGTCGGTTGCTTATTGAACCGATTGAACTGATCACGCAGTCCTGCAGTAAATTCATTAGTGGGAGCCTTATCTGGGTTGAATGAATGAAGCAGGGCTTCGAACAAATGTACTATACAATAGTTCCACCCAATGAAGGTAAAATGCAATACTTTTTCTAGCACATTTTAAAATCTCTCTTCAGCTTGTCTGTGTGCTGTCGGGAACGGGAGCAATTTGGAGTGGGCGAGTTTTCCATGTTGGTGGTGAAATGCCGTCGATCAGCTTAGCAGAGGAGAGTCCCAACGCTCCAGTCTACTTGTACTTCATGAGATTCTTTTTAGGTGAGCGCTTTAAGACATGCATCCCGTAGTTTGATGTCTGAATCCTGCCCTAGTCTGATTGTGTTTTCAAGGTGTGATGATGGTTCTGAGCTGCCGAATTGTCCTGAAATTTATCGCAAAACCATTGGTTCAAGGACTGTATGACGTGCTCGAGTTGAAATACTATTCCTACTCGGAATTGTGTCGTGATTTAGGTGATTTACAGCCGACCAAGAGGTATACGAATCGGATGAGGTTCAAACCGATTCTTGGTGCAAAGGTGAGTTTGCTACTGCTACCATTACTCAAATTCAGATATCAGCTGGTGAAGTGAGCCCGTGATATGTCAGTTTTGACTTGATAGGAAGAAAGGGGTACAGCAGAGGGGTGGAGTAGCGCGCTGAAATGGGCTTAATGCTTAGAAACACGCACTTTTTACAGGAAAAATTTCGGACCGAAAAGGTTTGGTGAAAGTTCCTTGGATTGGTGAGAAAAGAGTCTCCATTGGTGGGCTAGGTACGCTTTTCAATTAGGGGTGTGGGCTGGATGTATTCAGGACAGCGAAGGTTGCACTACATCTCTTCGTTTGATTCAAGAGTTGTCGAGAATAAGGAAGATCTTGCAAATATTGAAAAAGTGTCCTTTCATGGGAACATTCCCTGAACTGAAGAAAATTTTTACAGGAAGTGACTGCTGATGCTATACCGTATGATGTTGATTTACCGGTGAAGTTCATCGTCTACTCAATGGTTGGATTCCTCGTCTCTGAGGGGTGTCCGATGATTTTTGCTCAACTAAATATCTAACACGATATCACTTATCATTTTAGTATCTCTTAGTATGATAGTTTGGATGGGTTTTTCTGTTTTTTGCTGAAATCCNAAATCCTCTTTCTTCTTTGTTTAATCTTTCATTTCAGCACATTCCCCTTAATTTATTACGCCATTTCAACGAACATTCCGTAATTTTTACTTCAAATGGTTATTTTATACAGTATCTAGTGATATTTGTTTTAAAAAAAACTTTCTCTCATGAACGCTGATCCATCTAGTCGATAATCGTTAAGCACGGATTAAAGATCACTCCCTCATGTGTTCAATGCTTGTTGCGATGCCGTCACGTTTATGTCGCTTCATATTTCATCCCGACGTGCAGTTTTTCAGTCCTTTTTTGAAGTGAAAGTTTCTAATACGGTTGTGCAGGTGAGGCGGTGATCAACGCTGGTGACGACGACGGCGGTAATTCGGTGGCTATTCCCCCCACCTCCCTCAGCAAAGCTACTTGTCACAAACAGCAACAATAACAACATAGCAACAGTCAAATGGCGTCCAGCAAGCGGCCGCCGGAGGACGACTCGAAGTTGCCCACCTACCGATTAGTTGTCATAGGAGACGGAGGAGTTGGCAAAAGTTCGCTTACAATCCAATTTTTTCAGGTGAGTTTTTTCGTTGACCAAGATTATCCCTAATCATGTTGTAGTTAGAGCCACATTTGTGACGCTTCCATTGTTTTTTATATCTTTGCTTGACTCTGCGGAACATCTCCACGTTACAGAGTTGAGAACGTGGACTTAATGAAACAGGTCCTGTTTTTCATCTGACGGCAGATGAGATCATTAATTTTGACTAGGGAGAGTGTGGTTTTGTTCGATATACTTTGGCTTTAAGAGTTAAGCATGAGGTGGCGAACTCACTAGAGGAGAACGAGGATGCGAAAGGGGAGAGTGAGGAACGCTCTTCTTCGCTATCCATGACATCTTCCAGGAATTTTTCGGTCCGGATAATCCTTTGTCGGGCTTACGCGAAATGTTTTCCATACTATCAAGTTGTAAACTGGATCTTTCGTCAGATAGAATGTGAAACAACTGAAAGCGACGGGGGTGCATTGCAAGAAAACGTTTATTTGTTTTGACTATATGTTTGTTAACTGCTGCTATTTCGTCGCAGCTCGATACGAATGTTTCACGAGCTTGGAGAGTTATGGGCAAAACTCGGCCTCGGACGAGACTCAAACCCGCACTCGTGCTATACAGTATGCTATACATTTATTTGTATTCTTCTATGATAATATGGCTGTGTAATAAAAATCCTGCGGAGCGTAGAGCCACTATAATGATGGCATTAATAGTGGAGCCTTGACATTTTGGCATGTATTTCGGAGTATGGCGGGATCGTAGACGATCGATGATAGGGACTGATAACAGCTGATAACAACTGATAAGAACCCTTATCAACTGCATTTAACTCCTGTGGTATCAAGGTTACTTTACGTTTGATATCATTTACGTCAAAGCTCATCCGACCGCCAACAGTTTGGGATTCTCAACTAATGATGTACCCGTGGAGGTAAGAAGGTCCAATGATAACGACATCGATAATGGTGGGCATGTGGTGCACGCATTAGCGTGCGTAGCCCAACTGGTTGGAATATATTACTACACCAGTTGAGCCGCCCGGTTTACGTCGGGCCCTCATTCCTTACGTTTATTAACCAATTAGAAATGCCCCCCCCCCCTTTAAGTGTAGAAATGTAGAGGAATGTAGGATAGAGCTGGCTTTTCCATATCACTCTCTTATCGTAATGATAAACTTTTGCGGACGGACACACCGACATACCGACATACCGACAAACACACAAACCGACAAACCGACACACCAAGTTTCTGCTTTATAAATAAGAGAGATTGTTTCCTGCTATCTTGAACATTGCACACTTTGATTTCTAGTTTTATTATTGTTTATTTTATTATTAATGCTCTACAGAAATAGCATGATCTATTCAACTATCCTACTATATATAATGTGCTAAGTGTGTCTATTGGTTTGACACGGACTACGCCCACATTGGGCTAGTGGGCTCGGTTTGAGTGGAATTTCATAGCTCCTCTTACCGTGGACCTAGATGGGTGTGCAGGCGGCAGGATAGAAACACTCATTATGGGTCTCAAGACAGAACTTTACCCACATGGGGCGAGGTTAGTGCGAAAAACTTAAGCTTGGATCCAGAGCTCTCATATCGGTTAAAAATACAGGCGGCAAGTGGGAGCACTTACGTTTAGCAGCAGGACTTTACTCCGCTCATAAGAGGCGTGGGCAGAAAAAAGGAGTTTTAATTTAGGCTTGAAGCAAATTTTTGAAGCCAATGTTGAATAAGTTGGAAATAAATCGAGTTAATCAAACACACAGAAACTAAGCAGGTTTGTTAATGGCGGACTGGGCGCGAACGAATTGTGTTGGGTGTTTGCCTTGGCCGGGAATGAACAACTCCTGTACTCATCTCCTGAAGCCTTCAAATTTGAAAAAGGTGCAGACGAGGAGCCCATTTCAGCACGAGAAAGAAGGGAGTTCGACGTCAACTGCGCGAGCCGACTGGTCTGCATACCAAGCCCAAAAAAGTATCAACATTGTCGTGGCCTTTATTTTCCATCACAATCCATTGTTACTACATAGAATACTAAATATCTGTCTAAAAAGGGAGATATGTGAAGTAGCGGAAAATTACCTTCACGGAATGCATGGTGCGGAAGTAGACTCAGACTAGCCCTTACTATCGTCCACTTAACATTTTTGTCTGTAGCCATTGGGTCGGTAATCGGTTAGGTACTCGATTTAGGAGGTTTCCTTATACCGTAGTTAATCATTAATTAGATCAATGTTTTTATATCTTCACATCGGACAAACTGTACAATTTTCTGAGTAATTGTCAAATTTAGAATCTGTACTTTGTCTAGATGCTAAATGTATCGCGCATCTCAAAACATAGAGCAAGTGTTTCCCTCTGTTTCAGGATCGCAACAGTTTTTCAGCTAACAGTTTTTGGGGTAAAAGTTGGATTAATATTGATTTCACGGGTGAAATTGATGGTAAATGGTCAGTGATTGGTGAAAACAGTGACAGTTGGCGGTAATCATGTGAGACTATTGAGGGCGATAAAATGTTTGAAAAATATGGTTCCCTTGCGTCTCTCCGTTTGTCGAAGAGTTCGATTTTGTCTGTAGAATCACTTGGAAAAGTTGCATCAGTTTTGGAATTGTTGCAAGGTGAACAAAGTTGCACGTGAGCTCGGTGATACTGGGCAAAACATGAGGCGCAACTGAGAGTGCCGATGACGACGGACACGGAGTTCTCGAATTCCGCAACGAACAGCCTATCTGCTGGGAAAAAATAGGTAATGATGGGCAGCGAATCGGTGGATTAGGTGAACAGGGATCGTGAATGCTTCGGAGTCAGAAAAATCGTTTGGAAAGATCAATCTCGAGAATGCTGAGCGTGCTTGAAATAGCCGCCCTCATGCTCACTACAGACGGTTAAAGTCCTTTACAACTACAGTGTTGTATCAAGTGTTCACGTCTGTCCCAAAGAGTCCTGAGCGTTGAGAAAAAAGGCTAGGCATTGCTCATAGTAATGATAGTGCAGTAGTCGAATAATAACAGTCGAAATCGGATATCAAAATCAACGTAATAAAAAGGAGAGGAACTATTTAGGTTCCATGTCCAGTCAATGAATTTGGTACCTCCTTGCCACGACGTGGCTCCTTGCTGTATAAACAGGGATGCCGGTGACTATACTAACCGCCTGCCGATGCGGATGTGCGTTCCTACCGCTGACGTTATTGCGCCTTATTCCACATAAGATGGCAACTGTTCTTGTGCTCCCGCTATGGTCTGATCTGCGTCGTCTTCGACCCTACCATTTTCCTGACTCTGAGTCCCAGCAGCACTTCCACCGATACCCGTTGTTTGTCTACGTACTTGCAGTCTCTGATAAAGATATCTGAGCTACGGTCATGTTCTTGTCTACATTTCATGCATCAAGGTACGACATAAATGAATATGATCGACACTAGCGTCACCACAAGACGGAACATAGAACAACAAGTGTCGAATTCCTTACGAGCGAGATCCTGCATCGCTAAGGGTCTTCGGCCTTCCTTCCCCTCGAAGCATGGCGCTACGACGGTCTTTGGGAACAGATGTCACTTGCTTTGACTTTGAGCAGACTTTGAGTCCATGCGTCCTGAAGTTCCTGTGCAGGACAGACCATCGCATGAGCAGAAGAACAGGTGCCATATTTTGTGGTTTCCGGTTACCTCCAAGGCGTGTGCCTGCTATATCGAACTGCGGGTAGATGTAGGCTATCTGAGCGATGGCCTGACAACAGTTCCTTCCGGTCAGACGATCCATCCTTACCTCAGAGATCCTTTCGTTCCACGATCTTTTGGGTAATATGGCTTTTAAGACGCCTAGCCCGGCGATGGTGTACAAGGTGGACCGCTGGGGCGACGACGGACGAAGACGAGCACGAGAGCGATTATGACACGGCGATAACAAGTGATGACAATGAGGACACACACGACGAGCCTAGCCACGTGTTGACAACACCGAGCATCGTTGGATCACACGCCCTCATCACTCACGCAGCCCTGAACGCAATCTATTCTGCGTTGTCAACACGTGGCGAGGAATGTCGTCGGTCGGTTGGTGGAAACAGTGTCCGTCGATGGAGTCTTAAAGCATCAAATCGGCGTGAAGGCGGCATGCGCTCCGAATCGAAAGCTGTAATGCCCGTCTAATACTGCGTGAATACGACCCGGGGGTGAAAAAGTCGGCAAAAGCTCCACGACACTCCCTCTTTCGTCACTACTTGAGTACTGCAATGGTGCTCTGCCCTATCCTTCACTAGATTTAGTCATCTGATTGAAAGATTGACTCATCTGATAACCCTCTTTACGTCGGTCCTCGATTTACTTGAGAAGGGACCAGTAACCTCTTCACTCCTCCCTGTTGCGAGCGCGAGACGCACCTCGTAGCAACACCACCAACCAGCCAAAAATCATCCAATAAGAGAGAATCCGTAATGAAAAATATTTATTTTATGGCTATCATCTAAGAACAAGAACAAATAAGAACAAGGGCGTTTAGTCAGAGGCACCGTTCACGATGAAAATGGTTTTTGAGATTTCTTTCTAATTGTAAGACCAGTACCTCAAGGATAGAGGTGACGCTGTCGGGACGGATGACGGCTTCGATAAGGCGTAATAAGGGCCCCGAGATCGGCTTAGCCCATGTATCCAACCGGAAAGTACGATTTCTTACGGCGCTGTAGAGGTTGTAGACGTTCCACCATTCGCACGGGGCCTACACGTTGCAAGCGGGCAGATTACTGTAGTCAGCAAGAGCACTGACACAGCTTCTAAGATCGCTTTTAGAAACACCGACTGTTTTACTATGCTCGCCGAATGCGCGGTGCCAACTGCCGCGCCGCAATTTTATCACGTCGAAAACGGCGACGAGTGGTACATAGCAGAAGCATCGGATGTGGTCAATTTAACCGTAGATGTCGCTTCGCGGCGAGAGCGATGTTGCGCGCCGTAGCAGATTGAAGCAGAAGAGCTGCGGCGCGTAAGAAATACAGGAACAAAGAAGTAACATACTCATACTCGACCGAGTGGAGAGCGCTAGAACTACAATAACAAGATAGCTGATCCGCTGACTGCAGCGTGCTGCGGGTGAAATATACATAGCCGATACACTGCGAAAAAGGATTTTGGCAGAGGCCACGGGGTGGTGGTGGAGCAGTGCTGGGTGAGCACATGCGACACAGAACGACGAATCGTTGGTATTCTTTAATAGGTTTCGCCTCGAGGCTGTTCATCTGAATACCTCTTCCAAGCAAGCTTCGTGGTCATTTCTTGTCAGACCCCTAACTTTGCTACTTTTTGGAATCTAATATTTCTCTGAATACGCCGATTTACGTACTTTTCGCTTCTTTAGTATTATTTGGAATTCTGAATCTTTTCCTTCATTAGTTTGAAATTCGATACCCCGAAAATTCGTGAACTGTGCCTTCAAGCATACTGTTACTGAATCGCTTTGAGTTCACAGTAACTTCCTTCAAGCAAGAACTTTTCATCGTGTTGACCTCTTGTGTATTCTACCTCTTCAATCACTTTACATAAGATGTTCAGCGTATCGCGTAACTGGTGACTTATGATGATTTCTTTGAACCCCCTTTTTTCAGAAGCAGTTCTTGGATTACTATGATCCTACGATTGAAGACCAATATATTCAACATTGCGAAGTGGACGGTAACTGGGTAATTATGGATGGTAAGGATACTTCACCCGTCCGGTCCTTTTCCACAAGTTTTCTTGACCAGTTTGGTTTTTAGTATTGGATACAGCCGGACAGGAAGAGTTTTCCGCTATGCGAGAGCAATATATGAGGAATGGACGTGGATTTCTTCTGGTCTACTCGGTGACCGAACGTAAAAGTTTCGATGAGGCAGCAAAATTATACCGACAGGTGTTGCGTGTGAAAGACTGCACGGAATATCCTGTGCTTTTGGTGGCCAACAAGGTGGGCATCAGGTTCAGTTTGTTTTTTTAGTTTTTGTTTTTCACTTTCTATGCTGTTTCTTCCGATTTTTCGAGATTATCTTGAGATTATGGTAAGTCTACGGTAGAGCGGCTAGTTTGTGTTCAGTAAAGTAAACCTTATGGTGGGTGTGTTTGTCTGTTCAGTGTTTATTGGCTACCACCAATTTTTTGCTTTTGATTAGGATAGCGCTTCATTCTAACTTTTTTTTGTCGGGAATAGATGCTCATTGTTTTGCTGCTGCATTACACTCGGTTAAGGCCTTCCTATACGGTGACCTGATTTATTTGAGCTGATAGATCGAGGAATAAATCCCTAGACTTTAAATTTCTGTGATTTAATTCAGTGCTAAATTAGTGATTTGAGATTGATTTGACGAATCAACGAGTCGTGAGCGAAGCGGAAGGTCGTAGTCTTGCTGCCAGTCTGAAACTGCCTTACATTGAAACGTCTGCCAAGGTGTGTTTGTTGCTAGTTCTGCCGTTTATTTACCTTTTTTTAGTAAAGTGATTCATGCTGGAAGCAGGGGCTTTGTACAGCTCTAAAGGAGTAATGCTTACTTAACGTTGCAACTCCAAGCGCAGCAGCCATGAAAATTCGGCACTTATCCAAACCCACTGCAGTACAGTAAACTCATTGCAATTCACCCCCTTGACGACGGCGTGGCCCGCCAGTGGGCCATACCATATCGTGCTCCTGTAGTGTTTATATTATTTATCAAGTGTTACAATTTTTTGTTTTCAAGTATCAGCTGAGCTCACAACCTTCTAGAGAATCTTGAGGCATCGTGGTCCAGGAATCATTCACATCCAACTACAGTTATAGGAGAAATTAAAAGTTAATATAAGGACAATGTAAAAGGCGCGGTCGCCAGTGGCTTAATCATTACCAGAAATCGTTTCGGGGAATTTTTACGAGCTTTGCATCTGGAAATGCTAGTGACGACCGTCTTTCCAATATGTCTCTTTTTTTGAAGTTGTTCAACGAACGAAACATTTACCAAGGTAATGTACTCCTTTGGAAAAACACCTTTACAATTGCAAAATTAGAAGATTTTCTAGGACCCTTGCTGTATGTAGTTTCATTTAGGCCTGATATAATGTTTTGAGAGGAAGAATTGAAAGAAAGTGGAAATTTAGATGAATAAAACAAAAAATACAACTGCAGTCCACAGGTGCATGGTCGTCAATGGGTTAAACCATAGGTGCTAAGTGGGTTGGGGGAGACCACGCGGCGCGGCTGCGGCGCGGCGCCCTGCGCTCTCCAGGCCCGAAACTGTGTTTAGAGACGTTTCATAGTTTTTTATGTTGTAACTGTGTATTTTTCACCTATTTTAGGAAGGGGAGGGGGGCTCCGGGGTGGGTGAGCCAATTGGACGTTCAGTTTTTACCTCATCTCAGCTTCTTGCACGGGACAACCATCTCACCCACCCCCGGAGCCCCTCCCCTGCTTAAAAATAGGTTTTGTCGGCTCAGAAGAAGTGTATCCATAATATCCAAGCATATTGTTTGTTCTGAATCGTGAAACACATCAGTACAACCTTACCATTCCTTCCCAGACTCAGGCCCACTACTAACTCGCTGGAGAGCGCAGGGTGCCGCGCCGCAGCTGCGCCGCGTGGTCCCCCCCAACCCACTTAGCACCAAACCATATTGGTTGGCAATTTATGGACAAAACATCCAGTCAAAACAGAATATATTGGCTGTGAAGTGGGGTTGATTGTAGGTCTTAGTTATGTATACACCGGGGGAGCCCCAGGGGGAGGGGCTCTCATTAGTCATGCAAGTAGAGCAGTTGAAGGTTAATTTAACGGTGGTACGACAGACGAGGGCAGACAAGTGGGCGCGGCGCGGCTGTCACATTAAAGGCACGGTTCGCGATAAAAGTGGTTTCTGAAGTTCTCCCCTAGGAATACCCAGTGGTTCCTAAGGGTAACATGAAGGACGCTGTCGAGTTCCAAATCTCAACAGCTAGGGCACAGTGTAGCCCGTTACCGGATCGTCCGGACTTTCCGCCCCTCGGTCGGGGTCACGTCAGACGGGTGTCGAAGCGGTACAAATTGTTGTAGGACCCACACACAATCAGCTGCTCGCCGAGAATGGGCGATGTTTTTCTGCTATTAATTTATTCTGTGTTATTCTTTTTTTCTGCTGCGATCCCTTATTCAGTTTTGTACCACAAGAGCCATCTTATACCATTCCAAAAAACTTGGGCTATTTTCGCTGGTACTAGGGTTTTTGTGTCAACTTATGCTTATGAGTGAATTTTTGCTTACCATAGTCGGCTATTCGCACCAGGGCCCACACGTACGCAATGAGACACATTATAGCACGTCCAAACGCCCCATTATTCATTTTCATTTATTTCTTCTTTATTTTTCTGGTCTTATTATCGTCCAGCCCCCTTTTTACGATTTTTCGAATCTTTTTCCCCTTTCAAAAAACACGGATTCACGCAGTCTCTTCGCCTTCATCGCACTTTTTTCATCTTATCTTCCATTTTTCGTCATTATCTGGATACCCAAAATGATCGTGTACTGAGCTTTTGAAGGACCGAGTTGAAGCAGTCCCTAGGTGTGCCTTCCGCTCTATAGCGCTCGTCTAGGTGCACTAGAAGTATTAATCAACAAAGCGAATTTTCGTTTTCATTTCACAATTACAACATTCTCAAGGATCCTCCTGTGAATGTCGATGCTGCCTTTCACGAACTGGTCCGAATCTGTAAAAGCTTCCCGACCGACGAAGATGAAGAAGAGGTTTAGTTCTTTTTTCACTGCACGCTACGCTCTATGTCTATTCAATAAATCTATATTTTATTAGAATAGCGCCTCAATTTCGCCGAATCGAACGAAAGCGAAGAAGAAGAAGCAAAAGCAGAAGTGCGTATTGATGTGAATTGATTATTTACACAAAGTATTCCCTTATTGCATTTCCAACGCGATTCTTCCATCATTACCGTGTTTTATATGTTAGGTAAAATTTTCTTAGATTTTCATCATCATTTTGAAGCATCACTTTATTCACTGGTTCAGTTTATGCCATTAAAACGGTAAGATTGTCTGGTCGTTTATTATTGTGTTGCCGCATCGAAGATATTGTTAACAGGGGTGACATCCAAGGTACTCATCCGTCATTGGGACACTAGGGAAATCTCGATGAGTTACGTCCTAAAGTACTGCCCATTCTGGGCGGAGCTTAAGTACAAACATCGATCGTTTTCTTTGCAATTCCAATTACGGTGGTTCTCATGGATCTCAGTTTGTTATCTGAGGATTATTCTTGCTTGATTTCTGGCAGAGATAGTAGATTTTGGATTTCTCGACTTCCAGATGTTCGCCTTTTTACAATTTCTAATTACGGTATTTGCTTACCCTATTACCGTGTTTGTTTCTTAGAAACCATCCATATTTGGTACTTTTGTTCTTTTTCCGTCTTTTCCTAGTTTCTTTGATTCGATTTCTTTTTCAGAGCTTCCGATTTAGTTTCAGTTCCCACATATTTACTACTTAACCATTTCGCGTTGTGATAGACTGTGAATTTCCAATGATGGTGCTACTATGTATTTGTAACTTCTGCTTTTAGTAAGCATTTTGAACATGAAGCTCATATGGCCAGGCCAACCAGAGGTTTCCGTCACCTCTTTTTCACTAGCTTGTCCTTCCCTCCAGTAGCATTGAATCGCCAAGCTCCATAGACGATTCAAACCTCGTCACTTTATCTAATGTGCCTAACATTCTTTCATGCGATTCCTCACATATGACTATATGCTTTTCTAGGCTATGTATCCATAGAGATTACGAGATTGTTCATTTACCTTTTCAGCCAACGGAATGATTCGATTTGCCTTTAATAAAAGTTTTTAAAGGTTTGTGAAAATGTTCAGAGTTGTTGATTCCAGATGCCGCCTTCCATACTAACTCCAAAAATGATATTCAATAGTAATGGTTGTTGGAGGTAGCTCGTTTTTTTTCAACTATGAACTTGCTATAGTAGGTCTGACGGTGAAGCTCCGTCGGGCTTCGCGAATGCTCTTTCCGGCCTCGGCGGCTTTGTCCATGACTGCTGCTCTTCTCTCTTTCAGATCTTC